TAACATAGATATATATTTACCGAAATGTTATGGCTTAATGACTGAATAACAGCAACATCAATCTGCGCAGTTAAAATGAAAGCCGGTACGCCGTGCGCATATATAAGACATAGCTATTTTTATAAAATGCCCTAACCATTATATATATATATATATATATATATATATATATATATATATATATATATATATATATATATATAAAGAAAAACTCATATTAAAGAGATTCATCGAATATTCAAGCTGTAGATGGAAATGAATAAATATACTGTTTAATAAACAGACAGTATCTATGGAGAACGAATATATATATATATATATATATATATATATATATATGTACTACTTCGTTATAATAAAACAGTATAAATGTATGGAGAAGGTATATGAATGCACATACTAGCAAAAATACACATTCACACACAGTACAGAAAAATGTAGATAGGTTTAAGAAGATCCAGGGGCCATAAAAAGATTAGAAGAAAGACATCCTTTCTTGGCCCTTTCTCTGACCAATCCTAATTGTTTTATTACCCATTAAGCAGAAGAATATATTTGCCACAAGTCTAAGAAAAGTTTGGATTACTACTACACACAAAAGACAATGGTTAAACATCAGAAAACATGAGGGAAATTAATTCCTTTTAATAATATGTGTAAATAATCACTATTTGCCTGATGAAGATCGCGAGACCGGAAACATGTGGAAATTAAAGTATAATATATATATAAAATATATTTAAAAAAACACTTTATAACCAAACACGTTTGTAGTTTCTCTCTTTTCTTTAATATATATATATATATATATATATATATATATATATATATATATATGTGTGTGTGTGTGTGTGTGTGTCTGTGTCTGTGTGTGTGTGAAATTTAATGTTCAACTAGAATGATCGTCTAATTGTTTTTAGAGCAAAGATATTTATATTTTTTATATACAGACTGAAATACATACGATATATTGTTCATATATATAGTATACGCTTATAATTTAACCAACGTTGATTGCTTAATAACAAATGTCTTGAATAATAAAATCTAAAATGAATAAACTTTGAAGATATATGGACTTACGATGAACAGCTTTTGAACACTGAAATAGAGAAAGAATGAAGACCTCTATTTAAGTCATGTTCATATAATCTGACAATCCTGCCCTTCTTCCGTGGCTATATAGTAAGCACCTCACTACCAATACATATCTAGTGTTTGAAGGTGGGTCAATGGAGATGGATAGAGAAAATTATCCCTCAATCAAAGTTCAAATTAAGATTTAAGCAGACGCTATCTAAGAGAGAACTTGGACAAGAACAGATATTTAATGTTGCTTGCCGCACAGTCCATTTAACTCTATCTGCAATAGAGTGAGATTTCAAGAATTTCCTTTTCCCCGACAGCTTTGCTATTTAAACCATAGTTAGCAGAAAAGATTGATTTATACTTTTTTCGATTCGAATTTAACGAACTCGAACGAAATTCGAACTTGACTCGCGGATTTGTCTTTGCTGTCGGTTAGCGTTAACCGTTGCTCTTTTCCATTTTTTTAATCGAGTTCATCCCTGCAAGGCAGTAAAGCCACTAACAGAAGGAGTTATTGGGGGTGTGGAAGAATTAAAAACATTACTAAGGAACGAGAACAAAAGCAGAGTAATCGGGAGGACACTGGATAGCGATTGACATTGCATTGAAATTTTGAAAGAATAAAGTTGGCTGGAAAGCTTGGATCCGGAAGAGAGTTCCACAAGCGAGAAATGCGAGAAAAGAAACGGTTAGCACAGAACTTACGATAAAAGTGTAAATTGATGAGACCTCCTCGTCAGTCTAGTACTGCGCTTAAATTCATAGTCTAGGTACCATAGCGAACAATTACCATTAAAGTATTTATAGAAAAGGCACAGGGAAGCAACCTTATAGCGATGGGAAAATGACTGAAGCCGGACGTCGGACCAGGACCAATAATATTGCGGACTCTTCTTTGGATATTATCAAGGATCTCTAGAAAAATGGCAGGAACACTGGACTATATCTGGCACCAATGTTCCAATAGCACCATGGAGAGATGGTAGACTTATAGATATGAAAGATAGATTCAGGAGAGAAAAATATCTTTCCGTAAAATTGTCAAAAGTTACTTAGAGCAACAGAAGACAGGAAGTCGCGAAGAACTTTGATCGCCTCTGTTCGAAAGGGACGCGATTTATATAAAAAGAAAAAAATATAAATTTCTGAGGGAATAATTAAAGGCAATGTGTAGATAGCGGAAACATCGGAGCCGATTAGAAAACTTTAAGAATTGGGAAGGGCAATCTTGAGGAGATGAGTCAAGAGGCCACTTTCACCCTCTAAATTCCTCCCTTGGAAGTGAGTGCTTGCTTGAATACAAAGTTTAATTTCCTTGGCAGTTTTAACCGGACAAATCTTTTCTGCTTGACAGCTACTAAAACTCAGACGAAAAGTCATTGTGACACAAACGCAAGCAATAAAAAAGAAGAGAATGAAAAAGAGTAGTAGTAGTAGTAGTAGTAATAACAATAATAATAATTTTCCATTTCAGAGATTGACAGCTTTTCACCTGAAAATATGTGTTGTGACTCTTCAGGGCGTTGATGATACGGGGTTCTCCACAGTTCCCGGTTCTTAGCAGCTATTAATAAATTTTGTTTTTTTTCTCTTTCCTGAACCTTGATACACCATCCATTTACTCAGGATCGCTAGGTGGGTTATGCGATGTTTTCCTAAGTCCGTCTTGCCTTCAAACTGTCCTGTGAGTATTATATTTTCCAAGCAGATCTTCATTATGTGCCCTAGAAATTTCAACTGTTTCTTTTTGATGGTCTGTATAAATATTTTTTTTGTTTCCATTTACTTTAAATCTCGACGTTGCTCAAATGTTCAGTTCATAGATTACTCATTAACTTTCTGTATAAGCACATTTCAGTTGTTTCAAGTCTCTTCTCGATTTGTGAGGAGATTGCCCAAAATTCACTGCCATAGGACTGATATTACGTAACAGTTCAGTAATCTTTTCTTTGTTTCTGTTGCTTCAAGTTTCTTCTTCAGCTTTAAGGAGATTGTCCAGCATTCACTGCCATATAGGAGGACAGATATTACGTAACAGTTCAGTAATCTTTTCTTTGTTTCTGTTGCTTCAAGTCTCTTCATCTGTGAGGAGATTGTCCAGTATTCACTGCCATATAGGAGGACAGATATTACGTAACAGTTCAGTAATCTTTTCTTTGTTTCTGTTGCTTCAAGTCTCTTCATCTGTGAGGAGATTGTCCAGTATTCACTGCCATATAGGAGGACAGATATTACGTAACAGTTCAGTAATCTTTTCTTTGTTTCTGTTGCTTCAAGTCTCTTCATCTGTGAGGAGATTGTCCAGTATTCACTGCCATATAGGAGGACAGATATTACGTAACAGTTCAGTAATCTTTTCTTTGTTTCTGTTGCTTCAAGTCTCTTTTTAATCTTTGAGGAGATTGTCCAGCATACAGGACATATATGACGACTGATAACATTTCAGTAACTTTTCTTTGTTTCTAACGAAATCCTTTTTTTCTTAATACTTTGCTTAACTTTTGGAAGACATCCTTCGTTGTATTAATGCATCTTTGGATTTTAGTGACGCATTTCCCTTCCTCTGTTAAAACTCTTTCAAGATATTTAAATTGTTGTACTTTTTTAATTTTGGTTATTTCTGTAAATTAAATAGCGGATGAAAACTCCCACACATTGAGGATGAAATGCTCCATATGAACTTTTCATAGATTACATAGTTTTAAGAGAGTCAATAGAAACAAAGAAAAGAGTCACCCTCTTCTATGGCAGTGAATGTTGAAAAAATTCCCTAAGGAGCAGGAAAAATACAAGTAAAAGAAATATGATTCTACAGAAGTTTACTGAAGATTCTATGACTGGAGCGAGTAAGCAACAATAAAAGTCTTAAAGAAAATGGCAACAGAATGAACACTTATACTCAGAATCAGAAAAAAGAGCTGAAATTCCTTAGACACATAATGAGGAAGGAGGGTGTGGAAAACTTAACCCTCAAGGGGCATATTGAGGGCAAGAGAGACAGGGGAAGGCAGCAAGTTACTTACATGACTAGCTTTTGTGAATGGATTTTGGAACGGGAAGCGGTCGCCTTAGCAAATGGAGAAAAACTGCTAAAAGCCACACGGAATAGGAAGTTGTGGAGAGATATGATAGTTAATGTTTTGAAGGCACGTGGTACACAGAGGAAGACAATCAAAATTTAAAGTGAGAAAAATAAACTACGCTGTAGAGGATCATAGAGATCCGGATCTTTTTTCATTGCTTCATTGATTCCTTTTCTTCGGCTTATCAAGAATAATGGCCGTATCGGTTCTCTAAAGCCAGGTAGTCTTTAGGAACCTATTCTTCTGATTTTCTTTTCCAATCTGAGAATGGAAGCAAATTACTTTATAGTATCAAAAAGAATTGAATCATTTTGATAATTTAATAGAAAACATTTATTTATTAAGATATTTCCAGATTGAAATTCTCTTCTCATCATCTTTCTGTTTAGAATTATGATGCTCTAGTGTCATCAGCTGTATTATGGTTTCTTAGCCATATTCGAACTGAATCACTTCGGTCCCAAAGATCCAATGGAAAACATATCAAATTTATGACTGGAAGTTTGACCACATTTTTAACTTTAACGTCAGAATAAAGTATGTTCACCATAGAAAACCTTTTTTCAAACTCTGTAGAGCTTACAACAATGGTATTAATTATATTTCTACCTATTATATATCGACTATTAATATATAAGATTATGTTCGTATAATCCAACTATCAGTTCGCTAAGCTTTTATAATTTTCAAAATCTTTTCGCGCGAACCGGTGTGAACACAAGGGTATTTGCGCGTAAGTGACTATAACGAACCCAACTGGAATTGGAACTCGGCTCTGCGATTAACAATTCCGAGCCATTATCCATTACAACGCACGTACATTGAAACTTACAGCACCTGGTATTCTCAAGTGGTCACTCATTTAGTTACTGACCAGACTCGACGTTGCTCAACTTCGGTGATCATATGAAAACTGGTATTTCAATGTGATGTGGTCATAAGCCCCGTAACTTTAAATGCTTGAATATCATTAAAACTGAAAAAGAATCCCCCCAAAAATGAAGAAATGGAAAGTTGAAATGAGTGTAACATGAAAACTTTATCGGAATTGATATATAACAATACATGCTTCACGGGCAGACATTTCCTATCACTGCTATTGTCACAGCTAACAAATCATCTAATTGGATTCTGGGGAATTTTGAAGGATGATTTAAATTCATAAAGCCAATGAAGTCTTAGAAATATTGGTCAAAATTTGAACAATCATCATAAAAATGTAAAATTGGAATTTGAAATAGAAAAAAAAAATCTGTGCAATGTTGATTGTGCCAAAGAGGAACAAGTGGTATCAAATAGAATTGAAATATTGGCCAATCAGTTGATCAGGAAATTAAATGTCTTGGACGTTGACAAGACAAACCCGTTAAACACGTGATGAAAGAAAAATAGAAGATAATTCTTCAAGAGAGTCGAGAAGAAATAAACACAGAATTAAATATCAAACATTTGATAAAATATAAAAATACGAGATAATCATTCCGGCACATTCCTAATCTCACTAAAATAAATTCCAATCGTAACGGACAAAAGATATACTGAGCCTGTCAAAAAGAAATCTATATACACTTCAGGAATGGAAAAAAAACTTGTATAGATATTGTAATATTAAATTTATTCAGACATCACGAGATTAAGTTAGGGTGTTCCAATAAATTGGATCGATTTTAAATGTGAATTAAATTTAAGCGTCTAATTTTTTTCTTTTTCTTTCAGATTTAACAACTTAAATCTTTGGCAATTTCAAATACAAAACAACGTGTTAAAGTCATCATTATCTTTATTAGTTATCATTAGACGCTTAAAGTTAATTCACATTTAAAATCGATCCAATTTATTGGAACACCCTATACAAGTTACCTTTGGACTCTACACTCACAAGAAATGCTCAAAATGGTGGCCTTTAGTTTCCAGATATTTATTAGTACGGCAAATTACTGCTTAGGGAACATTGGCTAATGTTTCCAGCAAGATTTCTAAATATGCATTTTTCAAATTCTTGTCTAAGGGCCGCCAATATAGTCGGTTTTCACACCATCCATAAGGGTTGCCATAGGTAAAATTATGAAAAGACACGTTTATATATATATATATATATATATATATATATATATATATATATATATATATATAAAAGAGAGAGAGAGAGAGAGAGAGAGAGAGAGAGAGAGAGAGAGAGAGAGTCCGCCCAAAAATGTATACACACTTCAGGAAAGGAAAAACTTGTATAGATATTGTAATATTAAATATACTCAGATATCAGAACATTAATACAAGTTAGATTTGGATTCTACAATCACAATATATACACAAAATGATGGCCTTTAGCTTCTAGACATTAATACGGCTATCTGCTGCTTTAACAACGTTGGCCAAAGTATCCCGTGGGATTAATGCACATACATTTTCAACTTCTTGTCTAAGGACCGCCAATGTAGTTGGTTTTCTGCGATGCACAACACCCTTTAATATCACCCATAGGTACAAGTTTGTAGGTGTTAAATCAGGAGAACCTGGTTGGGGAGGGGGGAAGTCGAATGTAATTTTTTTCTCCTAGCCAGTGTCTTTGTCCATTCTCATTCAGATAAGCTCGCACGTCTTAATGGTAGTGTGGCGATGCGAAGATTTCTTGAAAAAAAAATTCATTATTTCCACGCATGGTTCATATATGTCAGTGTTATCGCAATTTGATAAAACTACGAAATATGAAATACGCGCAAATACCCTTGAGAAAAGTACGAATCCACCTTTTCTCCCCCTCTCAGCCACGGTGCATTTAGTTGGGATTATATAAGGAAATCATTATTATCTCCCCCAAATTGTTACAATCTAAATTTTCTGGTTTTAATAACCTTGAATTGTTGATAAGCCATAAAAACAAATCAATCACACACACACACACACACACACACACACACACACACACACACACACACACACACACACACACATACATATATATATATATATATATATATATATATCAGGTCATCCCATAAGTTCTGTCCGAATTATGAATAAAGAAAACAAGTGAACAAATGTTACATTTAATTACCGATTCAATGTATTTTCCCTGATTATCTATGACTTCTTTCCATCTATTAACAAGCTTACTAATTCCATAACTGTAAAATTCTTTTGGCTTTGATTCGAAGAACTTACAAATGTCAGTTTTAACCTCTTCCCGTGTTACAAAACTGTTTCTTTCAAATGATTCTGTAAGCTACGAAACAAATGTTAGTCTGAAGGAGCAAGATCGGGAGAATAAAGTGGATGAGGAATTTTCTCCCAACCAAGTTCTCCGATCTTTTGTGACGTGATTCTTGCTGTGTGTAGTCGCGCATTGTCCTGATGAAACATCACCTCTTTTCCATTCACAAGAGCAGGTCTTTTTTTCTCAAAGCTTGGTTCAAACGCTCTAATTGCTGACAGTATATTTGAGCATTAATTGTTGCATTAGGTGGTAAGAATTCAAAGTGGATTATTCCTTGGCGATCCCACCAGATTGAAAGAAGAACCTTTTGCCGATGAAGTTCTCTTCTCGGCTGTGGCTGGGGTCCTTCCTCTTTACCAAGCCACTGTCTACGACGCTTAGCATTTCGATAAAAGATCCATTTTTCGTCGCCAGTCACAAGTCTATCCAAAAAAAGGTGAAACAAGTTGGCGAGAATGGAGAGAAGAGCAGATGTCAACTCGGGATTTGAGGTTGTTTTCCAAGTTTAGGAACTTTTCCAAGTTGTTGAAGATGACGATGAACAGTTGTATGTTTTGAACTGAGAACCACTGCCAATTCCTCAACTGATAAATCAGGATTTTCTTCAAGGTCTGCTTCAAGCAGCTTTTCATTAAACTCAACTGGACGTCCGGTTCAATCTTCATCTTCAAGGGCGAAATCTCCACCTCTGAATTTTGCAAACCATCTTCTGCAACTTCTTTCATTCCCACATTCCTCTCCATAAACTGAGTGAATGTTTCTAGCCGCTTCGGCTGCTGAGTTTCCTTTCTTGAACTCATAAAGCATTATGTGCCTCAAATGATTCTTGGGTACTTCTATGTTAGCAGGGTTTTAATCAAACAAAATTTAATTTTATTGTTCTCTGAAATAAAATTTGATCAGTTTAAATGCATCTAAACATGAAAATAATGTTCAGCTCCATTAGACATTATAAAATACTCTTTAAATTTCGTTCATTTTAACAAAAAGTTAAAATTCGGACAGATTTATGGGATGACCTGATTATATATATATATATATATATATATATATATATATACCTAGTGAGCCAGACAAACATACCTAGGTTTCACCTAAACGGATCGTCAGGGAAAGTCAAGCTCGCGAGGCAAAGAGAAACACATATAGGCGATAGCTAAAATCATACCATGTGACCAAAAACCACAAACACAAACCTAAGTGGTCAAAATATTTATTCAACGAAAATGGGGAGGGAAAAAAAAAAAAAACAAAAAAAACACACGAACATTAAGGTGGAATGTCACTAACGGGAAACTGTCTAAATTAGTAGCCAAGATTTTTTATGTCTACATACGTTAAGGATTTCAGTTTTGGAGTTTAATAGCTGGTTAGGTTGATCATATAAAGCTATGGCTAATTTCTCCTCTGCACATAATTTACAAAACTTATGGCCTGCCTTATATTTTGGGCATTTTTTTAATATTTCCCATTTAAGGATGGGGTCTATATTATCTTCTTGTTTAGTCTTCCATACATAGGTAGATAGCGTGGTACTATGTTTAATTTTTGCGTTTTTAAAACTACTCGTGTAGTTATAATATCTTTTTTAAAATTTATCCTGAGTAGCACCTATTTATGTTTTAGGGTTAGTATCCTCATTATTTTTGTAAATTTTCACTTGATACACCACGCATTCTTGCTGACATTTTCCCTGTAATGGACAGATGTTTTTGTTTCTACAATTACAAGTAGGAGGATTACTACGTGGATTATTCCTAGTTTTTTTTCTTATTCAATCCATTTATTATAGTCCCTATGTTAGGCATGCAACAATAACTAAGTTTTACATTGTTTTTGTTAAATATTTTATGTAACTCAGTTTTTTTTGGGAAATGTTGCTCCAATAAATTAAAAAATATCTTACCAATTTTTGGTAAGATATTTTTATATTGCTTCTACGTATTTTACTTTATGCTTGTCAAAAATGTGCTTATTGCTAGAGTTGATGGACAGTCTCAATTGGACAGACGTAAATTATTCAGAATTCTAGGATGGCGGTTGGATTGTTTGTTAATATATCTATGGTTGTATAAATCTTTAGCATATGGTTTTTTTATGAAGCTCATTAGATAGGTGAAATCTTACATCAAAGAAATTGATTATTTTTTTATCAATCTTTGTAAATATAATATACTAGCATTAGAGCCCTGCGTTGCCCGGGAATATAACAGTAAGAGATAGATCAAGTATCCACCATCATAAAGACTGAAAAATAAAATTGACAAAGATTATTGTTTAAGGTTGACGGACACGCATGTCTTAATTATTTTTTTTTTGTTTTTGTTTTTATTTTTTACGAATTGGTCAAACCCAAACTCAAACAAAAACATTGTTTTCAATCGTTATGAGTCTCTACCGATTGAATAGAATTTTATTATAAACAATTGTCTTGTAAATGAAATTTTTAAAGCATCTGAATGTTAAAAATAAAGAAAAAAGTGTGCAAGACAATAAGAAACATTACATGCCAAAAAAAGTGAAGTTTTGTTGAAATCGGTTGAAAAATGTAGGTAGCCTTTCTGTAATCTTTTACTTTTACAATTTATGATTTTTACTTATTGAATACAGTAAAAAAAAATGCATATTTTGCTTGTGGTGATTCATAATTAGAATTCTGATTTGAATATATTTTCCACTCGTTTCTAATACAAAAAATATTAACTTTATTTTGGTTTATTAATTATGATCTAACAAATCTTATTCATTTAGTAGCCTTTCTGTAATAATAATCTTTTACAATTTATGATTTTTACTTATTGAATACAGTAAAAAAAAATGGACACCATGTGTATTTTAAAGTAGTTTCCCGTTCCGGTTATTATTTTAGTTAGGACTTGTGTATGTTTAGATTTCATTATCTTTCCCTAAAGATAAAGAATTTATTCCGATGTTTGTATTCGTACAATCGGTAGAGATTGTTAGATTATTGTTTAAGGTTGACGGACACGCATGTCTTAATTAGTTTGTTTTTTTTTATTTTTTACGAATTGGTCAAACCCAAACTCAAACAAAACATTGTTTTCAATCGTTATGAGTCTCCCGATTGAATAGAATTTTATTATAAATAATTGTCTTGTAAATGGAATTTTAAAGCATTCTGAATGTTAAAGATAAAGAAAAAGTGTGCAAGAGAATAAGAAACACTACCTGCCAAAAAAAAAAAAAATTGATTTTGTGCAAAAACAATTATATTTTTCCCATTTTTGGCGCTGTTAGAACCACCACAAGGTAATTTTATGTAGTCCTGTGAAGTTTTGTTGAAATCGGTTGAAAAATTTAGAAAATCCGATCCAATATATAAACGTTACAGACACACACACACACACACACACACACACACACACACACACACACACGATCTGCGTTTTATAATAAGTAAGATAAAAGTGACATTGGTGTCAACATCTTATAAAACCGCTTGTCCATTTATATATATATATATATATATATATATATATATGTGTGTGTGTGTGTGTGTGTGTGTGTGTGTGTGTGCAACCGGTGTTATAGGATGTTGATCTCAGTACCCACTTTTACATTTTAAATTTACATACGCTCTATCATTGATATTGAGCACGTTTTACTTATAAATATGTAATACCTTACAACTATATTTTTATCACACACAAAAATATATATACAAATAAAGTTTAAGCATATTACATTGATATTCGTTTCCTACTTTGTTCTTTATTTCATTTTATCATTTTGTCGTATCCCTATTCATATCTGATCTACATTTGTTCTTCAACTAATATATATATATATATTTTTACCAATAACTCATTTTCAATAGCATTTTCGGATACAACAACACATATATTTTCGTTGTCCTCTTATTACTAAGAGAAAAAACCAAGAACAACATCTATTCTATACCTGAAGATGTCTGTAGGAACAGACGAAAGCTTGTAGTAAAAATAACAACTAATACGGCAGAAATTTATATAAACAAGGATCAATTCATTCATAACGGATCTGGAGGTTTTTGTATACTATTTGAATTGTTTGCGATGATGGATGTCTCGCCATTTAAAGCATTAACCTTTGCATTAGTTTTGTGTGAATAATTCATGTATTTGTAAATTGATTGCACGTTTATTGTAATATATATATATATATATATATATATATATATATAGCTGGCCACTTGTCTATTAGGGAGGCTTGCCAATCCCTATTGCAGATGCTCATGCAGGCACATTTGTGTTTGTTCAACACCGACAGAGCCAACCTGTGGTTTATTCTGCAACTATGCTGAGCAGACCTTAGTTACAGTTTCTAGGATAGAGCGTGTTATCTCGCGTGATTATCAATCTGACCAAGGCCAATTCGCTCAAACCCTCGGTCACGATGACTTGTGACTTCATGTTAACACAGCCATCACCGGCCACCAAGGGTTCCGTCTAACCAATTTCACTCACAAGGCTTGGGTCAACCCATAGTATGTTTGTCAAGCATTTCCCAAAGGATCACCCCCTCCAGACCACTAAAATCAGGAAGTCTATTTCCTGAAAAATCAACCGTGGTGAGATTCGATTCCGGGTATATATATATATATATATATATATATATATATATATATATAGGGATGGCTAAAATTGCTTTACCCATTTCCAATGATATTAAACACAAATTTCTAAATGATTTGGAAACAGATAGATGGAAAAAAAATAGAAGTGGACGCTCGAAGCATGTGAATACCGAGGAAAATAAAGAAAATGTAACTGTTATATTGAAAATATAATTAGACGATGATTAAATAAATGTTATATTATCTAGCGATTTGTGGTTAGCATTATTAGGAATGGGTAAAGCGACTTTGCTCATCACTATCTATCTATCTATCTATCTATCTATATATATATATATATATATATATATATATATATATATGTGAAAACAATGAGCTTATATGTTTTCACGCAGGAAACTTTCGGCATTCATTGGCTGAATAGTTAACGTTACTTAATGTCGGTTTAAATTCATAAAATCATTCTCTTCCAAAAATATTTAAGGCGAATAAGCTACCCAAATCTCTGTTACCGATTTTTCTAATGCTGATGAGAGGTTCCGTTCTACTATTTTGTTTAAAGTCGCGTGCAAAGCAAAGATCTTGATTATGTAATTATTTTCTCTTCTAGTCCCATGTGCTACACATTTTTAGTTGTTGCTGCTGTTGGAAGTCTTCAAGTGACATGCTTTTTCTTATTCGTTAATGTTCATTGCGATTCTGTAAAGCCAGGTTACAACATTTGATGAGGGGTTGTCTTTTTTAAGAGTATTCATTCTCCTGAATCCATTTTAAATATGAGAAAAAGAATATATATAGCTGATAGTTTAGACACTTCTGAAAGATATGGAAGTCATGAATGATATGCATATGAAAGTCTAGAAATGAAGCCTCTTTAAGAACATTACACAAGATTTTTAGGTTAATGTTTTGATTGTATAACATCTGTTGGAAAATATACGCGTAGGTCAGCTTATCCTATTTTCAATTTTCTTATCTCCTATATTAAATTTGATCCATTCACAGAGATATTCGAAGATTTTAGAGTTTCTAAATACCACATATTGAATTTTTATGATGGATTCAGCATATATGCCATAGCTATTTTCATTCGAGTTACAGTTCACAATTTCTGTTTCAGAAAGTTTTTTCAAGTATCACTTCTTGGAATAAGAATGTTGGTTCAAGATCATTCGTATATTTACTATGAATATCTATGTCATTAGCATAATCTGACCATTTTATCATTGCACAATCATCTGGAGCGAAAACAGAAACGCTGTTTTCTTTTAGCAGATTCGTTTGAAAGGCTGACAATACGAGTTTCTTTTTTTCTATACATAAATAAAATTAAATTCTTCACCAACCGTTTATTTCTAATTCCTTCCAAAACATCTTATTTTGACATGTTAACAATTCATACTTCTTCGTCATTTTGTCTTTTTTATACTAAAATTCATCAATTATTTGAGAGCCACTCAAGGTAGAGGATTACAATTGAAGCGTCAGTGATGAATCAGGTGAGTGTTATGAGTGGTAGGAAATGAGGATAAAGAAGAAGTGTAAATATAGAACCTTGAAAAGGTCAAGGTTAGCGTTCAGGAAAGCATCCATGTGGGATTCTGGGAAAGTGACAGTTCTTGGGAAGGGGAAAGCTGCGAGAGTGAAACTTGTTTCTTATATTTGGAATACAGAGGAAATTAGGATGTTTCGACTCTGTGGCAGTGGCATGTCCTAGTTCTAAAGATCTGGTGGAATCATTTTAAAATTTGTCATGGAAATAGTGATAGAGTATGTGCTTGGATGGTTAATTCGTTTACTTAGGATTTTCCACTTTTTGCAGGTTATTTAAAGCCGAAAAATATTTTTAGATTGTAAATTTTTTGGGGTGGTTGGAGGTAATAATGGTTTAGTGATACAAGTTTTACTAATTAACCCATATCTGGGGGAAGAAGAAGTGGCTTCATATACCTTTCCAAACTGTATTTGTGCGTAAGGGACCGTAGGGAACCCAAAGAGAAAACCCGGCGGTTTGATTAACATTTCCGAGCCATTATCTATTACACTAGCCCCACACCTAAGGCTACAGCACCTGATATTCCCAAGTGTTCACCTATTTAGGTAGTGACCAGACTCAACTTTGCTTAACTTTAGTGATCGTACGGAAACTGGTGGTTCAATGTAATGTGTCCGTTTATATATATATATATATATATATATATATATATATATATATATATATATATATATATATATATATATATATATATATATATATATATATATATATATATATATATATATATATATATATATATATATAAAAGATTTGAAATATCTTTTCTCATCATGTTTCTATTTGGTCTATATCTACACCTACACACACATATATTCAATAAACAACGTTTTATTACATTTAGCCAAAAAAATCTTTCTGTTTCAATTTTTTTTAATTTTATTTTTCCAATTTTCGAATAAGTTGTTACACATCTTGATCAGAGATTCTTAATAATGATCGGGACGCATGAAAGTAAACTGGAAACAAGGAAAAAAGAAAATGATTTTATGGACATTTTGACCGAAATCAAGGTCGGGTATATAATGGTTTCTTCGAAAATACAGACAATGTCGGTAGAACTACGTAATACTGGATGCAATGGGTAAATTGTCGTCATGTTTTTATTTTTTATTTTTGTACATACACCTTCTTTTAGAATTCATCGACTTCACAGAATACTAGGATTTGTTGGGTACTGTCTGTTAGGAAAAAGATTGCCATGACGCAATTCACTCCGCCATAAATTTGAAAATGGCATGTTGTACTGCTTAGCATTCGCACCGGAAACGCCAATACGAACATTTCTGTGCGTTTGTGTGTCAGTCTAAAGATGGAAAGTGTTGGATGACATATCCAGTCAATATCATAGTGTTTGGAGTGATCACTAATCATGGCGACGTTATGACTCCATTCATCTTTCTACAGGGCCTAACACTCAACACGGAGACCTACATCAAGTGCCTTGGGAAGGTAGTGCTGCCATGGGTCAAGAGAGTGACTTCTGGGAGACTTTGTGTCTGGCAACAGGACTCTGCACCATGCCACACAAGCAGGATGACCCAGTCATGGCTGCCAGAAAATTTCTGCGATCATATTACTATAAACGTTATTGTTAGTGGATACCCACATATGAGTAGACGCTATGTTTATTTATTAAGCATTATTTATTTTCTTCTATTAGCCTGAATATTTAATGAAATCTTATTAAAGAAAAAATGCGCCCTTCGGCAGGATTCGAAAATGCGTCTATGTTTTCGTTAGAACCGATGTGCTTTAATCCGACTCGGCCAACAAGGTTCTTGCTGATCAAGCAAAACTGAATAGTTCATTTAACACACACACACACACACACACACATATATATATATATATATATATATATATATATATATATATATATATATATATATATATATATAAAGGAATGAATGTATTTATAAACAAAATTAATGTTTTATAAACTAAAAAATACCGTAATGTATTTAAAACAGAAGTAAAAAAATACTAGTATGATAAACAAAGAAAATCATTTATTCTCATTTTACTAAAATTTATATGCATTTATAAACATTAGTAAAATACTGTAATGTATTTATAAACAGAAGTAAAATACCGTATTTATAAACAGAAAAATACCGTAAATACTGTAATGTATTTATAAACAGAAGTAAAATACCGTAATGTATTTATAAACAGAAGTAAAATACTGTAATGTATTTATAAACAGAAGTAAAATACCGTAATGTATTTATAAACAGAAAAATACCGTAAATTTATAAAACAAAATAATTTATAAACAAAGTAAAATGTATGTTTATAAACAGAAGTAAAATACCGTAATGTATTTATAAACAGAAGTAAAAATACCGTAATGTATTTATAAACAAAGTAAAAAAATACCGTAATGTAAAATTATAAAACAGAAGTAAATACCCGTAATGTAAAATACCCATAATGTATTTATAAACAGAAGTAAAATACCGTAATGTATTTATAAACAAGTATTTATAAACAGAAGTAAAATACCGTAATGTATTTATAAACAGAAGTAAAATACCGTAATGTATTTATAAACAGAAGTAAAATACCGTAATGTATTTATAAACAGAAGTAAAATACCGTAATGTATTTATAAACAGAAGTAAAATACCGTAATGTATTTATAAACAGAAGTAAAATACCGTAATGTATTTATAAACAGAAGTAAAATACCGTAATGTATTTATAAACAGAAGTAAAATACCGTAATGTATTTATAAACAGAAGTAAAATACCGTAATGTATTTATAAACACCGTAATAAACAGAGTATTTATTTAAACAGAAGTAAAAATACCGTAATGTAAAATTTATAAACAGAAGTAAAATAAATTTATAAAACAGAAGTAAAATACCGTAATGTATTTATAAACAGAAGTAAAATACCGTAATGTATTTATAAACAGAAGTAAAATACCGTAATGTATTTATAAACAGAAGTAAAATGCAGAAGTAAAATACCGTAATGTATTTATAAAATAGAAGTAAAAACAGAAGTAAAATACCGTAATGTATTTATAAACAGAAGTAAAATAATGTATTTATAAAACAGAGTAATGTATTTATAAACAGAAGTAAATACCGTAATGTAATGTATTTAATAAACAGAAGTAAAATACCGTAATGTATTTATAAACAGAAGTAAAATACCGTAATGTATTTATATAAACAGAAGTAAAATACCGTAATGTATTTATAAACAGAAGTAAAATAATAATGTATTTATAAACAAAGTAAAATTTATTTATAAACAGAAGTAAAATAATAATGTTTTATAAACAGAAGTAAAATGTAATGTATTTATAAACAGAAGTAAAATACCGAAGTAAAAATGTATTTATAAACAGAAGTACCGTAATGTAATTTTTATAAACAGAAGTAAAATAAACAAGAAGTGTAATGTATTTATAAACAGAAAATAATGTAAAAAACATGGTAATGTATTTATAAAAAGAAGTAAAATACCGTAATGTATTTATAAACAGAAGCAAAATACCGAAGTAAAATAAACAGAAGTAAAATACCGTAATGTATTTATAAACAGAAGTAAAATACCGTAATGTATTTATAAACAGAAGTAAAATACCGTAATGTATTTATAAACAGAAGTAAAATACCGTAATGTATTTATAAACAGAAGTAAAATACCGTAAATAAACAGAAGTAAAATACCGTAATGTATTTATAAACAGAAGTAAATACCGTAATGTTTATAAACAGAAGTAAAATACCGTAATGTATTTATAAACAGAAGTAAAATATACTGTAATGTATTTTAAAACAGAAGTAAAATACCAAGTAAAAATACCGTAATGTATTTATAAACAGAAGTAAAATACCGTAATGTATTTATAAACAGAAGTAAAATATCGTAACGTTTTTAAAATGTTTAAATTTAAGAACGCACATATTCTCCAGGCTAACAGTGAAAGTCATGGTAAAATATGGAGGAAGTTATATAATTTAATGCCAAAGAAACGAAAGTTTGTAAATCTTGTCATTTTGCTGTTGTTGAATTTTTGTCGTTGTAGTTTATTATTTTTTTTAATGTAATTATTATTTATTATTTTATATTAATTATTTATTTTAAATAATATAATGCTTTGATTGAACCGTTTTTTTTTTAACTTAAAAAAAAAAATTATGGTTATGCATGATGGCTTGGAAAGAAAGCATAGTTTTAGGAAAAGGATCTATTTGAAAAAATTCCGAGTCGAAGGTTAACATTTTAGTACATACGATAGCGTCACTCTCAATAACTTTCCGTATTAGTAAGTTATGTTCTCTTTTAATAACTATGCCATTCTTTAGATTGAAATGTGGCTGAACATATTTCTGCGTATGACTAAATGCATTTGATATATGTATATGGTACTTTTTGAGTTCATAGATACGTTCTTGGAATTTCTGTAAATTTCCCCTATAATAATTCTGAAGCAGGTATATATAAAATAAACTGGCACAGCAGTTACAATATGTTTACATAGATATATGAACAGACTGATATACTTAGATAGATAGATAGATAGATAGATAGATAGATAGATAGATAGATAGATTTTAGTTAAATAATAGACGATATAAGATAGATCGATCGATCGATAGATAGCTAAATATGAACAGAATAAGAGACAGATACAAACAGAATAAGATAATGAATAGACATGGATGAACAGACTGCGATAGATAGATAGATAGATAGATAGATAGATAGATAGATAGATAGATAGATAGATAGATAGATAGAAACAAAATGAGATAGATAGATAATAAACCGACAGATATATTGATAAATATGAACAGAATAAGATAGATAATGAACAGAGAGATATAGATAGATAGATAGATAGATAGATAGATAGATGGTTGCGTTATACATTATTAAAATCTGTCATATAATTTGATTAGGTTCCGTCTATAAACTATTACATTCGTCATTTTATGCCTTGGAGCGGAAATAATAACATAGGAACATTTAAATGATTATACATATATTTACTAATAAATACCCTATATTTCATTCAATCCATGTTTTTGATGCTATTCCATCTCCCCAATTCGGTAAAGCAATTTGAATGTGTGTGTGTGTGTGTGTGTGTGTGTGTGTGTGTGTGTGTGTGTGTGTGTGTGTGTGTGTGTGTGTGTGTGTGAATATAGTTGTTTAAGGATACACAACGAAAAATGTATGAAGTTCAGAACAGCAGCAGCCGACACAGAAGTAACTTTCATTTAGAAATGTTAACGTTTTCCGTTTTTAGCGTCCATAATTTCTTCAATGCCCTAAATTTACAAATAACCACAAATATCTCTGAAAAAACAAACAAAAAGAGAAAAAAAAACTGATACATAACGGCGCATGCGCCAACTCGTTTTTTTTTATCATCAAACACGTGGATTATCTAATAATGTTCAGTCTACTCAACAAGAAAATTTAAGGTTTCTTTCTATATTGACAAAATTGTCAAAACCTATTTCTTTTTCATATATTCTTTTTTACTTAATAATTCAAAAACATATTCAACATTCAAAAACATTAAATATCATTTACTCACTTTTGTTTATTAGACATTAAATTAGGTCACACA